TTGAAAACTGGAGGTCGTTTCAGGTGTCCTGCAGTGGGTTTGAATAGGAACCCTTGGGAAGAATTTTGTGGGCCTATTCAAGCCCCTTCAAAGTCTCAGCAATTTGGAGTTATTGCATATATCTGCCAGATACAGAGCGTTGTAAAACACGCGAGACCAAGCCTTTTGTTCAAACCAGCACAGAATATCTGGCATTCTCTGCAGGTCCCATGCAGTTTTATCTCATTTCAGCTCAGTTTGGATGTTTGCACACTTTCAGGTCTCCAGCTACCATCCCTGCATGCTCCTGAGGCAGAGCCCGGCCCGTGCGGAGTGGGCGGGTCAAGGGAAGCTGGTGGACCATTCATGGGCAAGGGATTTGCATTGGGGGGAGGAGCCCAACCACCAGTGGCCTTAAGCAAGAGCAGAAGAGGTGCACCAGAGGCCCGCTTCTCCTGTGCTCATGTCGATCCTGGTTTCCATCATGCTGCACTCATCCCTCTTCCTCGTGCTCCTTGCTTGCTCTCCAGGTGTTGTACATGATCTTCTTCTTTAATTCTCCGTGCAAGTACTTCCTCCGAAGCTCAGAGGTGAGATTTCGGGTACACATTTCATCCTTTCTGACCCATCCTTTGTTCTTGCTTTGGCAGGTTCCTTGGCCCAGTATGTGCTGACCCAGCCCCCATCCGTGTCGGTTCGCTTGGGACAAAATGCCCAAATCTCCTGTTCAGCAGGCGACATTGGGAGCAGCTATGTGCAGTGGTACCAGCAGAAACCCGGCAAGGCTCCTGTACTCATTATATATGAGGATAGCAGCAGGCCAGCCGGGATCCCTGACCGATTCTCCGGCACCAATTCTGGCAACACAGCCACGCTCAGCATCAGTGGCGCTCAAGCGGAGGATGAGGCCGACTATTACTGCCAGGTGGGGAAAAACGACCAGCACACCGTGACTCACACAGAGGGGGAAGTGAGACAAAAACCCCCTGCTCACGCACAGCCGGTGCCAAAAGGAAGGTGCTTTCTTGGAGCCACTCGCCTCCTTCGTGGAGACGAACCACTTCCCTTCCAGGGTGGGCTCCCCTGCTCTCCGGTGAGCTGCCATCTCATGGCGGCAACGACTGGGCTGGAGACATGGCCGGGACCACTGCCCGCAGGGCTCCCCTGAAAAGCCTCTCTCGGAGGGGCTCCACTTCATCATTGCAGCCTCTTTCTCCACCTGCCCCTGCAAAGAGGAGGGGACACATTGGTCGAAGTGGAACATTGATGCCCGTGAAGTAACAGTGTAGATGAAAGCCCTGGATGTATCAGCATCCCGTGTGCCAGGAGATGCCTGGGAGCAAAGTGTGGCTACACCCATGTGGGAAGGAAAATGGGGGGCGGAGCAGCCATGGGGAAAGGGCTCTGACCGCCAG